TTATTGTAACAAAATACAGGCACCAGCTGAACCATCTTACCGAATTGAGCCTCAACACATTCTTTTCATTAACCAGAATAACAGGAGAAAGAGACGTAAACTAAAGGATATACAAGTATTAGTAAAACATTAACTTAGGAAACATTAAGGCCGAAGAGTAATACAGTCAACGACAAAATTATTCATACACCCATCAATTTTGAATTTTTAATCCATTTCCCAGAATCTCATGCCAGTATGATACCAGGTTTTTTTTATATCTTAATAAGCACAAAAAAATATAAAACTCAATTTTCAGAACAATAGATAAAATACAACCAATTTCACAGACGAATTATGCAAAAAAAAGACAAAATTCAATAGAAAATATCGTTTTAAACTGATTGAGTGTAAGTATAAGTAATTTACATAATTATTTTATCGGTGAAGCCTTCTAGACTATTTATTTAGTAGAATATTTGTGATAATTCCAGCAAAGAAATCACGTGGTGCCTAGAGTGTCGCCATTGTTATTCTTACGTTGACAACACGACGGGGAAGACAAAGGAGTTTAGCGTTGAATTGAGACAAAGAATTATTAACTTCCACAAGTCGGAAAATAGTTACAGCTCTATTTCAAACCGGTTAGCTATCCCTAGATCTACAGTCGTTATAAAGAAGTTTAAACAGTTTGGCACGACAGAGAATTTGCCTGGATGTGAAAGAAATTCCAAGCTGTCATCGAAAACTGCACAAAAAATTGTGTCGCGAGGTCAATATAAAGTTGTTTTGAAAGACATCGCCAAAAGTTTAGAGACGATAGGTATCTACGAAGTACTCACACAATAAACGTTGTTTAAATAGAAATAGGTTGTATGGAAATGAACCACGACGAACCCCCCCTCTTCACAAGCCATGTCACATTGCTGCTCGGTAAAATTTTGTCAAAACGTTCTTGGACAAAGAAAATTATATTTGGGAACAAGTACTATAGAGTGACGAAACAAAAAATTGAGGTTTTTGGACATAATGATGTACAGAAGATTTGGCGCAAGAAAAATGAGGCTGAAAATCAACAATTAAAATTCTGGATAAAAATCTGCAACTATCAACGCAAAATCTTCATCTAGGTCGGGTGATTTAATTTTCAGGAAGATAATGATCCCAAGCATACGTTTCAATCAGTGACGAATTGGCTTCAGAAAAAGAAGATTACAGTTCTGAGTCCTGACTTGTACCCTAACTCGTGGGTGCACAGTCCTATGAGTAAAAGAGAAACTCGGATGAGTTCCACCACGGAATATGTGATCGAGCGACGCTATATCGAGTCTGATTCCTACCTCTTCGTCACCGAGGCCGTTGAACAGTTGGTATGACGTTTGCCTGATAGCGTAACTCTCCGGGTTTCAATTCTCGGTAGTGGATGCTCACTGCTGATGAGTCCCAAATATAGGTTTTCTGCATTCTGTTGAGGTTTCTTCTAGACTCGATGAATTACTTAATTATATATATATATATATATATATATATATATAATTATTTATTTAAAAATATGATTCCATCGCTACATAAGTGTTCTCATGTTTCAGAACAAGGAGCCGAAAACTTCAATATAATTATTTGAATTAAAGTACCAAGCTCTGTTCCATCTTCAAGCAAAATTCTTTTTGGAATAATTATTTATTTTTTACTAATGTACAAAATGTGGCACAAGGCCAAAAAAGGTGGGTGGGGAAGGACGGTCTTCTTCTGTCTTAATTTTAAACTTAGTTAGTCACAGACACGGACCCAAACATACCAACAATAGTCCAATCACCAAAACAACACATTCACTCCTACCTTTCTTACTAAATCCACCATAATACCTCAAATTCTCTATGAAATCCTAACTAGTCCCCATATGTACATTTAAAAAGTCTGTGTGTGTGGTGGGGGCGACGATTAAAAAAACCCAATGATTATTTACAAAACGAAATAATACTATTTACATTTTCTGAAATTTACGCGTTTTATAAGCATATTCATTATTAAAATTAAATTACTATGGTAAAGTCTAGAGCAATTATTTAAAGAAAAGGGACGTAAGGGTTAATAATTTTATCAATATCTCAGTTACAAGGTCAAGTCAGAATTAAGGTTTGGGTGTGTCTAAATTTAAAGCGGAAGATGACATCGTCTAGTCTGGTTAAGTGTCTATGGAGATTTATTTATTTATTTATTTTATTTTTTATTTTTTTCCTGAAAGGGTTTTGGGTATATAAAAAAACCCGTCATAATTTGCTAACATTTGTTTTTTGACGACTTCATAAAGGGTTATCTTTTTTTTTGCAGTGAATTTAAACTATTTATTTAGACTATGGAGTTTAAAATTTGTATTTATTATTTTATTGTTTGTTTGTTTTTTATGCTAATTATTCACTGCGAAAATTTGATGATATCGGCAAAAAACCAACAAACATTAAAGTAATAAATACAAATTTTAAACTCCATAGTCTAAATAAATAGTTTAAATGCCCTACAAAAAAAAAAAAGAAAAAAAAAGATAACCCTTTATGAAGTCGTCAAAAAAACAAATTTTAGCGAATTATGACGGTTTTTTTTTATATACACAAAACCCTTTCAGAAAAAATAAAAAATAAAATAAAAATAAATAAATCTCCATAGACACTTAACCAGACTAGACGATGTCATCTTCCGCTTTAAATTTAGACACCCCAACCTTACCCTGACTTGACCTCTTTGAATGTAACTGAGATATTGATACAAATTATTAACCCTTACGTCCCTTTTCTTTAAATAATTGCTCTAGCCGTTACCATATTAATTTTAATTTTAATAATGAATGTGCTTATAAAACGCGTAAATTTCAGGAATCAGTTATTCCAAAAAGAATTTCGCTTGAAGATGGAACAGAGCTTGGTACTTTAATTCAATTTAATTCAAATAATTATACAGAAGTTTTCGGCTCTTGTTTTGAAACATGAGAACTCTTATGTAGCGATTGAATCATATTTCTAAATAAATAATTATATTTATGCTCTACTTTTGTATCGAGCACTATTTTTTAAAGATAATAACAAAAATACTAAAGAACTTTGGATTATTTACCTAACGAGTTCTTTTCCTATTTTCTATATATTTTAGACACACACACACACACACACACACACACACACACACACACACACACACACACACATATATATATATATATATATATATATATATATATATATATATATATATTAAATAATACAGTATAATAGATATTATAAAAAAACTAGTCATACAAACAATAAATCAGTAAAGTTAATGTAATGGTGAATTCACTTCGCTAACAGATTTAATAAAGCATTAACTTACTAATCACTCGTTGAATGACGTGATCCTTGTTTTTAAAAATTGTAAAATGGATTAGATGTTCAGGTAACTTCCAAGACGAGAATAAATTCAATAAAAGACGAAGGATGTACTTCTTTGTATACTTTGACGCTCCAAAAACGTACTCAATTTTTTACTTCGTCGTCAGTTTGGATATTTATAAACATGCATTTAATTTTATTTAATAGTTAATTTAAACAGTTAATCTTTTTTGTAAGTCAATAAATAATAACATTTCTTAATTTTAACCATTAATCTCGTTTGCAAGTTATTAAAAATGGAGTCAACCGTAAACGGAATCATCGAGTCAATGCGAATCAGGGCTACATACAGTTTTGAATTCAGAGTTTTCCTTCTCCTAGACAGGTTGCCACCCAAGTCTGTAGAATTCTGAATGATTTTAAACCGAATGTCAACCTCATCTACCAAGAAATAGGACTCAAGATAAACCTTTCCAAAACAGAAACTATGATAAGGAATTGGAATAAAAACAGTGATGGCACAGATCATAAATCTATCATAAAAATTCAAGATGTGGAATTAGTAAATTCTAAACACCTAAAATGCCTCAGCGTATGGATGAGGCATAACAAATTTAGTATAGAAGAACAGGAGATTGGAGATAGAGGCAGTTTCCCCCAACACCTCAAATTACTTCAAAACCAAAATATTAACGTGAAAACTAATCATGTTATCAAATAACCTCGTTAGATCTGGACGTTATATGAAGGTCATGCATGACCTTGAAACCCGCTCAGAAATATCTAAAATGCAAGCTACATACATGCAAGCTTTATAAGATCAATGGTGAAAAAAATTTTTGAGCAAGCGAAGCCTGTGTGTCATGGCAAAGATCATCCTTTTTTGAACATTGCGGACGGATGTTTATAAAATCCCAAGCAAAGAACTGTACCAAATAACGGAAGCCATATCACTTGAGGACTAAAAACAGCGGCAATGACTGAAATGACTAACAGATTTAATTCGAAGAGAAAATAATGACATCATCGATATGCCGTTCCACATTAAAATGTTTGGAAAGAAACCTCCATAAATACCGGAAAGAGCAATAATAGCTATTGAACTTGAGAAAACAATGTTCCTGAGAAATGTTTATTAATAGATAGATTTTATAACTTTCAACCGAAAGCTGATTTGGCTGCTCGGTCAGTGGATACGAAATGGTTCCTTGTAGAGAAACGGCCAATATTGCCATTGCCGTGACCTGCGAAGTATGCTTTACCTCTAAGCTATGGGAAGCCAGCCCAGTGAATAAACTCTAGAAATGCATATCTCTCGCTGGAACATTTTGAAGTCTGTATATGCGAACGTTCTTCTTGTAACCGTTATATCATTCGTTATATTCTGTATTCTTAATTCTTTTGTCATTCTCTCTGTTTTATTTTGGTTATTTTATCATATTCTCTCACATTCAGTAACCCATTGCGTCTTAGTGGCTTCATTGCCTTGCTTGGGTGAAATGATAAAAAAACGAAGCGAAAACAAAATTTGAATCAATTAATTTTTTTGTAATTCATCATAATTTATTATTACTATGATATATAAATCGATAGATCATAAGAAGAGTAAGATAGATAGATCCTGAACAGATTAGGATATATGGATACATCATGAATAGATTAAGATAAGTAGATATAAACAGAAGTAACATAGATAGATAGATAGATAGATAGATAGATAGATAGATGATTTACGTGTTGAACTTTCATGGAACTAAGATAAATAGATAGATATGAACAGAGATAATGTGACACTATTTAGAGTTGCGTGAAAAAAAAGGCGAGAATTAATTTAGGTGATAAGAAGCTATCACGAAAAGACACTGAGCGATGTTATTTTTTCTAACAAAGGAAAGTAGTAAAGATTTTATTTTCATTAGCGAAGAAAGTAAGACCTCGGATCTGGCGGATTTAATTTGATTTATGTTACGACGGAGCGAATAAAAGATAGCCGTCTGCCCATGGCAATAATGAAAATTTCAAATTGGTCAAGTGGCGTACAAGGCAGAATGCTAAGAGATAAAATTAATTAGGTCATGCACTGACCGAGAAAAATGTCCGCTGGACCACCCACAAGTTACAAAGAAGAAAAGATTAAACCATTAACTATCTGCGGAGATATTTGGGAAAAACACCTGTTTTATGTCAGAGCTGGCCATGATAGAAAAATTATTTTATCGGAACAGATAATTGGCGACAGAGTGCGGAAAATCATTGACCAACCTCAATGATTATTTGACGAAAATCTCGTTGACGAATTCCAGACGACGTTCGGTTAAGATAAGAGTCGTGTGAGGTCTTCTCGTGGAAGAGAAAGAAAAAAAAAAGGGAAAGAAGATATTTTTTTTCCTTTGAGCGATAATTGCAAACACCCACGCTGCTGAGCGTTCATTGGCTGAAGGGTGGCGTGAGCGGTAGGCGAAGGTAAACTATGAAGAAGTAGGGGAGGCCTGTTGACGCCCCTGAAGGGATGGTGTGAGATGCCACTGTGAGAGAGAGGGGAATCTGTTGAAGCCCTCTGAGGGGATTGGTGTGAGATACCAATATGAGAAAGGAAGAATTTGGGAGGACGGTTCCTTTTAAGTCGAAAGTAAGGACTTCCAAAAATGGAAAGTAATAAATTTTCCTGACCGAAAACAAAGAAGATCCTTATTGTGGATTTAGAATTATCAAGGAACCTCAAACCCCGACAAGCCCACCCCGGTTTTGGTCGGCGTCCATATAAGCAGAGTCGCAGCGAGTAGACGACAGACAGGCGGGCAGTTGGGGTTGAAAAGAAAGGCAAGCAGTTGAGTTGGAGTTGGAAGTTGTAGAGAGAGACGCAGAATTGAGCTGTGAGCTCTGAGACCCGCCTCGCAGAAAGCTTACTGAGATCCCACGCAATCACGACCTCAACTTCTAACCAAGAACAATTTATTTTTGAAGAAGGACTTAGACTCACACCATCAAAACAAGTTTTACGAATATCGCCTGAAGATACACCAAAAAACCAGTTTCTTAAAAAACAAAAAAAAAACAACTTAAGATGTTAAGACTCGCCTAACAAATACAAAGTGTCATGAATCCATATAAGCGGGTTGGGAGAAAGACGTAGTCCTGTATTCAGCAACCAGATATAAAATATTATTATTCTTTTTTAACACATTTGAACTTTTCGAGTTGTTACTTTATTTTCTTTTACATATACTTGTGCGGTATTACCCTTATCCAGACTCGACTTGCATCGCGGCTCGGCGACTGATTGATTTCGTCTACCTAAGATCAAATCACAACGTGGGTAGGTTAGACTAGAAATCAAAGCAGTTACTTCGGTAACCAGACGTTGGAGGCGATCTGGGAACGACAAGGCTGATACCGAATTTAACCAGATTCCCACCCGAATCAGCAAGAGGTTAGAACGTCACATTTGGTGCCGCGACCAATACCAAGTCACATTGGTCGTCGCAGGATAGAACGGGCACGGGGCAGACAGCACGGGGTGACGTCACAATAAAACAGATCATGAACAGACTAAGGTAGATAGATAGATAGATAGATAGATATGAAGAGAATTAATATAGATATATAGATATGAACAGAACCAAGATAGATATATATGAACAGAGATAAGATAGATAGAATAAATATAGATATATCGACATGAAAAGAACCAAGATAGATATATATGAACAGAGCTAAGATAGATAGATAGATAGATAGATATGAGCAAGACCAAAATAGATAGATGTTTTACTTGTTGAACTTTCATGGAACTAAGATAAATAGATATGAACAGATTTAAGATTTGTGCAGTATTCATAATTAATTTTCATAAAGGCTGGTTTCAGTTTTTTAATATAGATAGCTTCGAGAATTTTTAGTTTATGTTTAATATTTTTTTGGAAATATATAGATGTATTTTCAACAATTTTCGTAAATTGCAAATGTGGACAGGCATGCTATTTGTAAATGTTGAGAGATGTTAGATGCATCATTCAAATGAAAACTCAACCTACGAGACAAAGTAGTAATGGTATGGCCAACATATATATATATATATATATATATATATATATATATATATATATATATATATATATATGAACAGAGCTAAGATAGATAGATAGATAGATAGATAGATAGATAGATAGATAGATATGAGCAGGACCAAAATAGATAGATGTTTTACTTGTTGAACTTTCATGGAACTAAGATAAATAGATATGAACAGATTTAATATATATATATATATATATATATATATATATATATATATATATATATATACGAACAGAGTTGAGATAGATACATAGATTGCTAGATAGAGCTATATGCTAGAAATGTTCCAATGAATAAAATGATAATCTGTTTAAAATCTTAAGTCAAAATTGGAAAGTTGTCATCCTAAGTTTGCTTATAGGTAATCATCTATGCTACAGTTCGCATGACTTTCCTTTACTGCTACCTTTTATATCCTCCTATATGTGTCTCTGTATGCTAGTCAATTATAGTAGGTTAATAAGTACAGTACGATGACATTTACGTCTTTAGTATTATATTGCAATAACATTGAATTGTTTATAGCATTACTTTCAATTACAAGCATTCTCTTCTTAATCGCTACTATGCGAAGACAACGCCATATTTGGTTACACACACATCATTCTGGCCTTGTTCATCTTTCTTTGCTTTTTCGCTAACCGCCATAGGCAAAAAACAAAAAAACAAAACAAAAAACAACTCCGGATATCAAATATATAGCTCTTCCGTCGAAAATTAATAAGAATTCGTTTTACTATCGTGCCATCCCGCTGTTAGCAATGCAGCTTAAACAGTTATATTGAATATTTTGATAGTAAAGGACACCTTTGGCGGAAGCCGCCATCACACGAGAACTTATAAAGTGCTGATGACGTCTGTTTTCTTTGATTCTGCCCGTGTCTGATTATATTTCTTGCTTTGTAATCCGGCGTAAACGAATAAAACGTAAACAACAATAAGCTTACCTTTAATCATTTTATTACGTGAGTGTTGGTAGATATAAATGAATGGCTATTTTTTATAGAGAAGCTGTCAGATAAGCTTATTAGAAAATATATATTGGCAAGTTAACTAGATTTTCCCAGCGTCATCATTTCTTCAGTGTTAAAGAAACATCAGAAACGCTTTCGAGGTTTACCCATCTTTTTATCGCTTGTATAATCTGTAAACTCTTTTATACAAGTGTTCCTTAGGTAATATTCAGAAAGTACGAAAATGGGTGTTGAATATTATAGAATTAATCAGTTCTTTATGTGCCGTGTCGTCTCTGGATCTAGGCGATCATGGCTCGCCAAAATTTCCTGTCCATCGCAGCTGTTAATAGATTTTGTCTTTTTGTTATTTCTCCAAAAACTTGTTCCGCCATCCAATTACTCAAGCTCACAAAGTATGGTATACGTTGTTTTCCTCTGTAGTGATTTTCCAAGCGTAGATCAGATGTGGCACAAGGCCGAAAGTATGGGGTATCCAGTGATGTTTTCCTCTGTATCTTTTGCTTTTCAATCTGTCCTGTGTGTATCAGATTTTTCAAGCCCTCTTTCCTCATTATGTGCCCAAATTTTTCAACTGTCTCTTCTTGATGTTAAGTATAAGTGTCCTTTTTGCTGGCATTGTCTCTAGAGATTCGTCGTTTCCCACATGTTCAATCATTGGTATTCTCAGTATCCTTCTGTAGAATTATAACCAGGCACTGATCTATTTGAAGCAACAGAAATGTTTCTTCAAATAGATCATTGCATAGTTATAATTCTTCCTTTCAGAAATTTAAACAGATTTTGAGAGTGAGAACATACAGCCAAAATATCTAGCTAATATATATATATATATATATATATATATATATATATATATATATATATATATGTGTGTGTGTGTGTATGTATTTAGGCAGCAATCCTTCTTTCATGCACATTTCATTGAATACGACAGACAAGGTGCTTTTATTTAGTTTTTTTATACAATTTCTCATGCGATCTAATAATTCTTTTTTAAATGATAAATTATATAAACACTGTCTGAATGTTCTTTTTATCCGAGCGCTTTCGGCTATACATTTAGCCATTTTCAAGGATTAAATATATTAACTGTTAAATAAGAAATAGTTTGTTGTATGTATGTTTTTAAAAATGTTTTCATTTTTTAAAACACGGTCAAGATATTTTGTCTATGTTCAAAGTTAATATTATTAATTGTTTTTTATTAATAAGGCTCCCATTATTTTTAGCCTTTTTTGGATGTAGATGATGCTATTATATTACTGTTGTCAACAAGTATGTTACGAATAGTGTCCGGTAGGTCTCCATGAATATTCAAATGAGATCTAATTGAGCTATGGTCAGAAAGGTGTAGAGTGAGTCTGCGTGTCAAACATGTTGTAGTGTGGCCTATATAATCATTTACGAATTTTGATTGATCAGGAATACAACTCCTTAATGGGCATTTCTTATTTAACAGTTAAAATATTTAATACTTGAAAATGGCTAAATGTATAGCCGAAAGCGTTCGGATAAAAAGAACATTCGGACAGTTTTTATATAATTTATCATCCGAAAGTAAAAAAAAAATATTAGATCACATGAGAAATTGTATAAAATAGTAAATAAAAACACCTTGTCTGTTGTATTCAATGAAATGCATATATATATATATATATATATATATATATATATATATATATATATATATATATATAGAGAGAGAGAGAGAGAGAGAGAGTATAGATAGGAATCCGACAAAATGATAGGATAAAGAACAAGGAAAGAGATCTTAATCTAACATGTTTCACTTTATTAAAGTTTCCAGAGATCAAGATAGAAATTATATAAAAAAAAGAGACGCAAATTAATGGTATGTTGTGTTGGGCTTTTCTTATTGGTTAGATACGTGTCACGTGTAATGAATAATATTCAAATGTAAGAAAAGATTCTGGATGCTAACGTGTATGAAAGTTAGTGAGACGTTGCAGGATGTTTTGCAAAATTTTGTTTGGCTTGAATTTTCATTGAAGTATATCTCGTGCGTATTTTTTTTTTATATATATGTATGTAATAGAATTTTGGGAATTTAGGCAAATCATTATAGTAATTTATCAAGTCTAGAAGAATCCTCAATAGAATGCAGAAATCACTGGACGGCCGTTTCGTCCTATTTTGAGACACATTAACAGTGCTCATCTACTACCGAGATTCGAACCCGAACTGTTTTGATACAACGCGTCATACCAACTGTACCAACGTTCCTCAGTGACCAAGAAAAACTGAATAGACTGGATAAAGCGCCGTTACTCACAAATTCCGTGGTGATACTCATCCAAGTATTCATAACACAACGGATTGTGCCTCAATAGCCACGTCTTTCATTTTATATGTATTGATTTTTATGTATTGGGAAGAGATAAGTCAGATTCATGAATAATGGATTTGTAGAAAGATGTTGACATGTATTTTTTAAACGGGTGTTAATAGTTGGTCATGTTGCTGTAAATATATTTTCATAATATTTCCTTTTTAAAGGGTTCTGTCCTGTTTTTGATAAAGCTGGCATTGGTGAAATTAAAGTAATATCATAAATTTTATACACTTTAGCGTCCAGAATATTTGTCACACTATTTGAATATTATCTGTCATTTCATTACACGTGACACGTGACAATAAGAAATAACTAAACACAAAATACCATTAATTTGCGTCTCTTTGCTTTTCATCATTTTTTATCATTTTTACCTTGACTGCCAACGAAGTTTTAATAATATGTGTGTATGTGTGTGTGTGCGTGTGTGTGTGTATGTGTGTTTGTGTGTGCGTGCGTATGTGTGTTTTTGACTTTTTGTTTTCATCTGGAAAAAAGATAATTATTTCTGTGGGTTTAAAGTACGACAATAGTTTTGTAGTTTTATTTGTTTCTTTCCTTCTTTCTTATCTTTCTTTTCTTTTCCTTCTCGCTTTTCAATTAGTATTCTCTATTTTTGGTGGGGTTTGATTCTATTCTTTTGACAGTACTTTCTTTTTTCTTTCTTTTCTTTCTTTCTTTTCTTTCTTTCTTTTCTTTCTTTCCTTCTTTCTTTTCTTTCTTTTCTTTTCCTTCTCGCTTTTCAATTAGTATTCTCTATTTTTGCTGGGGTTGGATTCTATTCTTTTGACAGTACTTTCTTTTTTCTTTCATTCTTTCTTTTCTTTCTTTCTCTCTTTCTTTCCTTCTTTCTTTTCTTTCTTTCTTTCTTTCTTTCTTTCTCTCTTTTCTTATCTTTTCTTTCTTTCGTTTCAGTTAGTATTCTCTATTTTTGCTGGGGTTGGATTCTATTCTTTTGACAGTACTTTCTTTTTTCTTTCATTCTTTCTTTTCCTTCCTTCTTTTTTTCTTTCTTTTCTTTTCTTTCTTTCTTTCTTTCTTTCTTTCATTCTTTCTTTTCCTTCCTTCTTTCTTTCTTTCTTTTCTTTCTTTCTTTCTTTCTTTCCTTCTTTCTTTTCTTTCCTTCTTTCTTTTCTTTCTTTTCTTTCCTTCTTTCTTTTCTTTCTTTCTTTCTTTCTTTCTTTCTTTCTTTCTTTCTTTCTTTCTTTCCTTCTCTCTTTTCTTTCCTATCTTTTCTTTCTTTCGTTTCAATTAGTATTCTCTATTTTTGGTGGGGTTTGATTCTATTCTTTTGACAGTACTTTCTTTTTTCTTTCATTCTTTCTTTTCCTTCTTTCTTTCTTTCTTTCTTTTCTTTCTTTCTTTCTTTCCTTCTTTCTTTTCTTTCCTATCTTTTCTTTCTTTCGTTTCAGTTAGTATTCTCTATTTTTGGTGGGGTTTGATTCTATTCTTTTGACAGTACTTTCTTTTTTCTTTTCAGTTTTTCTTTTCTTTCAGTCTTTCTTTTCTTTCTTTCTTTCTTTTCTTTCTTTCATTCTTTCTTTTCTTTCTCATCTTTTTTTTTCTTTTCTTTCTCTCTTTTCAATTAGTATTCTCTATTTTTGGTGGTGTTTGATTCTATTCTTTTGACAGTACTTACTTTTCTTTTCTTCCTTTCTTTTTCTTCTTTTTAATTAATTTTCCTTTTTTTGCTCTATTTTTCTTTTGTTTAACCGCTTTTTCTTTATTTGCTTCTTTTTTTCTTTCTTTACAATTCATTTTTTTATACATTTGCTGTGCCTCTTTTCTTTAGACAGCACTTTCTTTCTTTCTTTTCTTTTATTCTTTCTTTCTTTTTAATTCTGTTTTTTTTTATTTCTTTTGCTTCCTTTATTTATTTTCTTTTATTATTTCTTTCTTTCTTTCTTTTTAATTCATGTTCATTATCTCTTTTCTTTCTTCCCCTCTTTCATTCTTTCTTTCTTTCTTTTTAATTCGTATTCTTTATTTCTTTTGCTTTGTTTGTATTTCCCTCTTTCTTTCTTTTTGATTCATATTTGTTTTTTTGCATTGTTATTTTAATTTGTTTCTTTTTCTTTTCTTTCTTTCTTTCCTTCTTTCTTTCTTTTTTAATTCATATTTTTTATTTCTTTTGCTTTGTTTCTTTTCGTTCTTTCTTTCTTTCTTTCTTTCTCTTTCTTTCTCTTTCTTTCTTTTAAATTCATATTTCTTATTTCTTTTCCTTTCTTTCTTTTGCTTTGTTTCTTTCTTTGTTTTTTCTTTCTTTTGCTCCGTTTGATATTTCACATTACTTTCTATAATCTACCCTACTTCACATCGCTAAATACATTATTCATCTTTTTTATGTTTTCTAACTTTTTTCGTTTCTTTTCTTATTTTAAAACCTTTTTTCCGATATTTTCTCTTTTACAAAACATATCTAAATTAATTTTATATAACGAAAAAGTGTCTTCTGTTTCGTGTTTCACTTTTCCTTTTTTGCTTTCTACAGACTTTTTTTCATTTCTCCATTCATACCTGTATAGTAATAGAGGGATGACTAAAACTTTGTTTAGTTCATTTTTCTTTCTTCCTCTTTATTATTGTCGTTTTTTCTTTCTTTCTTTCTTTCTTTCTTTCTTTCTTTCTTTCTTTCTTTCTTTCTTTCTTTCTTATTACCGTTTCTTTCTTATTCCTTCTTTCTCCTTTCTTTCTTTTTTACTTTTTTTTCTGTCTTTCTTGCTTTTCTTTTAACTATGCTATATTCCTTTTTCTTTTTCGCCCAAATTTTCTTGTTTACTGGTTCTCATTTTTTCTTTGTTTTTCTGTCGTTGTTCTTCAAGTCATTTTGTTTTGTACACCAAAATGCTATGGCTTGCCACTTTGAAATGGTCGAAAAGACTTGTAACGAAAAAGTGCCGATTAATTAACCTCTCCCCAAGCTGAGCTGCACGAGGTTAATCGAACACCACAAAGAAAAATGTATACACGTGTACATGTGGTTAAACTGTACGTACGTAGAACTAATTGTTAATCAGTGTATGCGTATATGACAATTGCAGATATTTATTAAGGTTAACAGAGTACGACACTTGAATAGGTTGCAGGAAATATTGTTAAAAACACTGTTACGCCATATTTCCACATATAGAAAGTTGGCGCACTAAGAGAAATTTAGACAACGAAATATTTTACTTAGATTCAAACACTAACACGTGGAACTAACGAGAGATTTAGAACTAGTACAGCGCCTAAATTGAACACATTATGTTTAGTCTATTAGTTTACTAAGGTTAGTCTAATTTTGTAAGATTTGCTAGGGCTGACTGACACACATAACGTTTTTCTTTAAATGGTGATCGCCTTGTATAAAGCCCAAGAGCCACTCATGTTAGAGGCTTACAGAGTAAGAGGCAAAGCCAAGATGCCAGGTCAGGACCAATGACATTGCAGATTCTTCTTTGGATTTTATCAAGAATCTCTAAATATATAGCAGGGGCACCAGACCAGATGTGGTGGAAATGTTCAAAGCAAGGACGAATGGTAGACATATAAATATGTAAGATAGATTCTCACGTGAAAAATTGTCTAGCAAACATAGTGGACCAACTTTCTTAGCTGCAGACTTAGAAATTAATTTGTAGAGGACCGTGGCAGTGATGAGTATGTAGAAGAACACACGTGAGTTAAAATTTCCTGCTGACCGGTCCAACTACACGAGAAATTTGGATTTTAATTAAGTCCAAAGAAGACAAACAAGACCGATAAATATATGTAAACAAATATATGTATTAACAACAAGTACAAGTTACAAGCACATGGGCAGTTACATTGAGCGCGTGTGGGGAATATTATGTGTGTGTGTTGTGGTGAGTGTTCGTACGTACGTGTATTGTTCTTAGCGTGTTCCCAGAATTTGGGAAACGCTGTATCTGTGAGAGCTCACATCTGCGAGGTGGTATAAGGCTGAAGGCTTGAGGAAAAAAGAGATCGAGGCGAAGGGTCAGCCAATATTTATAGCCAGGGGAGAGAGACTCTTGGTGAAGGGTTAAGGAGCTGAGGAGAAGCTAACTCCGACAAATTCAATATACTTCATGCCAGCTGAAAACGTTAGTTCGGGTAGGCGCAATAAGTCACTCACCTGGGAGTAAGCATCAACCATGCCGATGGATGACAAATGGTTCCCTCAGATGATTAAAAGAGGTCAGTTTCGTTTTTAAGACGTTAAAATTAACAAGCCGTTCCTTGTTCCATTTAACAACAGATTTTAGATCAAGTTTTAGATCAGCTGCTTATCGAAATTACAATTAAGTCATCAGCATAGATGAATATGAAAGGATTATGATAAAAATAATATGTTTGTAATTTATTCAATCAGACATACCTCAAAGAGAATTTGCTGCCTAAATACACAAATATATATATATATATATATATATATATATATATATATATATAGTATGGTTGACTACTAAAGGGTACAGGCACAATCTGTGAAAAGCAAGTGTAGTTTACTGGTTATTTTTGGAGAAGCAACCAAAATGTTGTGTATCAAGTTATAGTTACTTATTTAAGTGCTTGGGTGATCAGGTTTCTTTCGATACGTGACTGCCTAGGCAAACTAAGGCTATCGAACACAACCTTCTCTGGCTAGAACACAGTCTTCCCTGTTTAGAACTGAAGATACCAGGAAGGTCGTTAATGAAAATTAGACACAATGTAGGTCCAAAGATAAAGCCCTGGGGAACGCCCGCATCTGTGCAAAAAAGTTCTAGAAGAGTGTGTCTACACAACAACTTTCATTTCGCGATTTGTTAATGTTATGGTCCGGTTCCTTGTACTACGGTGATAGTCCAAGGTAGAACCAATAAAGAAGAACCCGAATACGGATATGGAATAACACAGATATATTACAAACAGGAATACATACAGAGAAGTAGGAAGTGTTAGTACGAATAATCAGGATTAGTAGTAATTGTCTGAACGCGACTCTGTTTCGGACTGCCTCTGACTCGACCGACTGAATCCTGACGGACTTCTGACGGACCTCAATCCAGACTTCAGTAAACAGTATTTAGTCACCCCCCCCCACGAAGGTATCATGTGGCACAAGGCCGGTTTAACGTGGGATCTCCGAGCCTTGTTCGAGTTCCTCCCCGCCCGAAGGCAGAGAGTTCAACCGATAGGCCGGTCAGCCGACTTCAGATTGAACAGTATTTAGTAAAGCCACGAGGGCATCATTTGGCACAAGGCCTGTTTAATGTGGGATCTCTGAGCTCGTGGGCTCGGCCAAAAATATGCCCTTTGAACCCGTATAAACGGGTTCAGGGTCGGTTTACCTCCCCGAAAGAGACTCCGTCCGAAGGCTGAGAGTTCAACAGATCAGCCGGTCAGCTGGTAGCCCGACTTCGGACTGAACTCCCTGCTTCCTCTTGAGGCGCAGTATTTATTACGTATGGAATAATCCATTCTGTTATGATGGGTAAGGTCCCATAACAGTTAAGAAAGACAGAAGCAGTTCAAAAATTCATCCAGAAATAGCAAAATCTTTCAAATTTTGAAGAAGATCAGTATACCAAACTCGTTCAAATGCCTTCCAGATGTCCAAAGCAACAGCCTGAGCTTCACCATTCTTATCTAAGGCCTCATAGACTCTTTCAGAAATAGTTGTTAATACATCAGCAGTTGACCTAGAGAAGCGAAAGGCATATTGCTTATCTGAAAGAAGGATTTTTATGCATCCAATCACCAACTTTATAAAATGAAACTCCACTACCAGACAATATACAAATATTTATCAAGATCAACGTGCCTGGACCATAGTTGAAATTCTCACAAAAAAATCTCGAAGTCAAAAATGAAAAATTTGAAAGTACAACTCTTTAAGCCAACAACAGAAAGAGCCCTCTTTAAAGGGTCAAACACTGGACAAAAAAAAAAAACCAACAAAAAACTAGATGATACTTAGACTTGACTATTGAGATCAGCAGACACTGGCATAGTACAAATTTGAAATTTGCTTGGATTCTATGTTTCGCGTTTATTAAGTAGGATATAAATACGATACCTATCAATAATTCATTAGATTTGTCTAACACACTGATTCTGATGAACGGAGCTTACGGCCACATAATCTTGAAATACCAGTTCCCGTACGACCACCGAAGTTAAACAACGTCGAGTTTTATCAGTATCTACATGGGTGACCGCTTAGGAATACAGGTGCAGCAAGCTTGGAAGTTCGTGTTGTGTAAACAGATAATGGCTCGGAATTGTTAATCGGAGAGTCGAGTTCCATTTCCAGTTGAGTTCATTATAATCACTTTGGGAAAGGTATTAATCTTCTCTCCCCAATTAGTTAATTAGTAATACTTTATCACTAAACCATTATTATGTACATTATTTACTTTATTCGGACTATTGTCCTCATCGTTTCGGCCCTTGTACACTCCGGCCTTCTTCAGGTGGTTGGAATGTCGAACTGAACCCTTTATTTCGCTCATTGGGGTAGACTAGTTCCACGTGCCATGTTTAATGGATGTCAGTTATCAGTTATCTCCTGTTAATTTCCCTCTGAAAGTTCTGCCTTAACTGGATCTAACCAATGTCTTTGTCCACTGTGCCATGTGTCCTTGAGGATATCTGTGTATGAATTTCTGGGTATTATAAACCTAATGTCTTCAGCAACGGCCAAAACGTTGTAATAAATATGGCGACAGAGATGAGGACAAAAGTCCGAATAATGTAAATAATGTACATATTATCTTATCTCAGAAATATAGACAAACCATTATTATCTTAAAAAAAATTCTCACAATCTAAAAATATTTTCTGTTTTTCCGGCAAAGTGTTGATAAACCGTAAAAAACGAATCAACGAAGCAATCCGACGAGCGGTGTATCCGCAAAAAGCTGAAGTTGGTCAAAAGATAAGTCGACTGGACATTTATCAATTTATTGATTGTTGTTGCTCTAGTTCTTAATTGAGATCTTTCTTGAAAAAAATTCTACTCGGCTTAAAATACATAAAATTCTACTATATTTATTTTGCTAGTATTGCTCTTTTGTATTATATATATATATATCTGTGTGCGTATATATGTATTTGATATATATATATATATATATATATATATATATATATATATGATTTGTATTTTATATATATGTGTGTATATATATTTATATTTATATATGACGAAATATATTTTTAAGCTATACTATACTTATGAGATAAAGTGCTCAATATCAGTGATAGAGCGTATGAAAATATAAAAGTGGACACTGAAGTCAACACTCCTAGGCGACATTCTGTTTCATAGTCAGGCCAACTGTGTATACACACACACACACACACACACACACATATATATATATATATATATATATATATATGAAATGATTTTGGATTTTATTGTGTATTAATGATATATATATATATATATATATATATACAATAGTAATATACGGAAAATATTCATGAATATGAAAGGATTATGATAAAAATAAGCATACATAATGTTTGTAATTTATTCAATCAGACATACCTCAAAAAGAAAATTTGTAGCCTAAATATACAAATATATATATATATATATATATATATATATATATATATATATATATATATATATATATATATATACTATTGTTGACTACTAAAGGTTACAGGCACAATCTGTGAAAAGCAAGTGTAGTTTAGTGGTTATTTTTGGAGAAGCAACTGAAATGTTGTATATCAAGTTATACTTACTCATTTAAGTGCATGGGTGATCAGGTGTCTTTCGATACGTGATTGTTCAGGCAAACTAAGGCTATAGAACACAGCCTTCCTGCTATTCTACCCATAACCGTACGGAGAAGAAATGCATGAGAATTTGCCCGTAAGTCAATGCAACGACGGGAATTCGATCTCAGCTCTTCAGCCTCTCATTGCCCGCCGATATTCATTACACCGCAACGCACATCCTCAACTTATTCTATACGACCCAAATTGTGAGAAAAGATCAAGAGCAACGACCTTCATCGCTCAACTCACAGATGATAGGAGAATCAAAAACGAATAACTGGTAGAGCTATCGATTATAAAAGGGTTGGAATACAGTTGTCGAATGCCATTCTTTGAGAACGATCAGATCGAGAGATCACCTTAGTTCAGACACAAACCATACAAAATGAATCAACCAATCAATCTGACGAACGGTGTTTCCGCGAAACGTTGAAGTTGGTCAAAAGATAAGTCGACTGGACGTTTTTCAATTTATTGATTCAATATTGAGCTCTTTCTTGAAAAAATCCTGTTCGTCTTGAAATACATGAAATTATGTTTACGTATTTTAATAGGTCTACAGCTAGGGAACCTGGTTCATTTAGTCGTGCCAGATAATTTTTCTCGACAGAATACATCATGCACCTTTATAAATCTACCATTTGTCCGTTCGTTGAATATTGCTTGCACGTCTGGTCTGTTGCACATCTCGAGATTCTGGACAAAAAACAAAGAAGAGTCTGTAAGGTTATCAATTCTGACTTGGAATCTTAGGTTCAGTTACTTCCCCACGGCTGTAAGGTATCTTCTCTTCGTATTTTCTATAAATATTTTCATGGTAATCGTTCAAATAATCTTTCCACTGTGGTACTATGACCATACGAATTTAAGCGTACTACTTGATTGGAAGTTCGGTCCCATCATTTTACTGTTGAAATAGCTAGATGTAAGGGTAAGTTCAATTCTGATAGTTTTTTCTTTCGCTCTACTCGCCTTTCGAATTCCTTTCCGGCTCCATGACAACTACGATCTTTAAAAAATTTAAATGCAACATCTATCGTCAAATTCTGCCTTTCTTTAACCTGTTCTTTTATTGTCCTATCTTTTTGCTAACGTTTTCTTGTTATCTTTTAATCTCAGCACCTCCTTGCATTTTAATGGTTTTATCGTCTTGCTCGGTGTGAAATAATAATAATAATAATAATAATAATAATAATAATAATAATAAAAGAATTTAGTCAAGCTAACGGGATGCTTTGAGATATGGGCTTGCTAACCACTGTGCGATGGTAATCACTTGAATATATTTAGTTTTATGAATATTCTGCGTACACTCTGATCGATTTCCGTGTTTGCGATTAGCCGGGGCATCTAGTATGGAACAGAAGGCGTTATGATATCCACTTTATCATTGTGAATAAACTGAAAGTTATACTTTATACAGAAAAGAAGAGGAATAAATATGTTTATAGCTTCCTTGGAGTTATTAATGTTATCCTTTGTATATTTCCTTTCCGTTGCCAGAAGAAAAAGAAAGAAATAATTTCAATAAATACTAGAAATATTTGCGCTCTTCAATAATAATTGCATCATTTGATGGATAGCGTTTATATGCAAAGAAATGGCTCATCCCTACGAAGAAAAATTAAGTCTCAAGAGATCTCGCGAAAAAAAAAAAAAATACACATTCTCATTTTCTTACGATACTATAATCGTCACTTTTCGAGTCTGTCGCAAGAATAAGTTGATGCTGAGTAAGAGAAGAATTTATGCAAGGAAGTACGTGTCGGAATTTTTAGGATGTTGATCGTACAGAGTGACATACCAGTCAGCTTTTGCCACGATGTCCAAAGTCTGTGCTGATTGGCTGAAAAAAAAGAAAGAAAGAAAAAAAAGGGATATGGTTCCTTGATTTCCCGCGAGAAATACAAAATGACAAACGATGTCTTTTTCTTTTTTTTTTTTTTTTTTTTTGTCAACCGATAATTTTGAAATAAATTTTGTTTGTTATTTTTTGTGATTTTTATTTTTAATTTTTCCTTTCATTTATACATTTTCTTTCTTCCTTTCCGTCTTCGTATCACTTAACATTCTTCACGGATATTTTTTGGGCGACGAATAAGTGTTCTTCTCATCATTTCAATGTATTCTCCCCATTTTTTTTTATCCGATTTCCTGTATCTCAAGTCCTTCATTTAATCGTTTTTTTATTTATTTATTCAGATGCTTTATTTTATTTTATTCGGATTCTCTTCAATATTTTCTCGATATGTTTCATCCTTCTGACACTTTCAGCACTTTCTTCTCTTGCTTTTATTTTGTGAATTTTCCCATTTGTATCACGACATTTTATCTTGCTTTTCTTTTTTTTTTTTTTGTCGTGTTAATGAAGTCATGTTTTACGTGCTTTATATTTCTTGGATGGCTGTTCATATTTTCGCTTCGTCGTCTTTTCTCTCCAATTCTCAACTTGCTAAGCGTATCTTTAAACTTGTAATTGGAGCCTTTTACAGAACGACAGCAGCATTCCTAGAACCCCGACCGGCCCACTCCACTTTTTCACATTTTCATATAATCTCATTTTTTTCCCCCTTGTTTCTTTCTTCGTCAATTTTTCTGACGTCTTCTCAAGAAGAGAAACAATTAATTTTTCACCCTTTTTTCCGTTTTTCTTTCGAAAACACACATATGCGTTAAACATTCACAATTACATGCGCACATACATGCATATACTAAAGTAATGGATATTTATCAGTTCATCATATTTTTCTCACTTTCAACGTTATTTTTATTGGATACTCATATTTGTGTAGACGTTCGGTTTATTTATATGCAGATATGAAAATTTCATGAAATTTGCCACGAGAAGGATTTCGCTTAAAGGTACTGTCCAAACATTGCTCAATCAGACTGGCCGAGTCGGTTAAGGTACGTCGGTTCTAACAACGTTTTCTGCCTACCCAGAGGGACGCAGGCTGAAGTGCTACCAGAGAGTGTATATTTTTCTTTAATATTTCTCGAATATTCAGACAGGCAGACGAAAATAAATAAATTTTCTGTTTATATAATTAAGCAGAATATCTACACCAGTATGACTATCAAATAAAAATAACACTTTAATTGATAAAAAAATAAATACATGTATAACAATTTTGGATCAAGAAGCCCATAGAGTAAGATGGAGTTATTTAGATCTGAACTTTTCGCTGTATAATAATATGTCCTTGTGTGTAATATCCCAAGCTAAATCAAATGAAGTGACGAAGGTAAAGTTACTTTGGTAAATTTAACGGGATGTCAATCTTTGTTCTGTTATTTAATGTCGGACTACAAAAAAAAGACACCAAAATTTAATAAAAAGGTAGCAAGAGGTTCTGTTTTCACTAGTCAGAAAAGTAGACAGGGGACCGATTTACACAAGAGTCATAAACGTAACAGAAAGCGAAAGGAAAACTAAAGGCGAAG